GGGTTGTAGTTTTCCAGGGCCGTGGACGCGGCCCCCGCCCGGGACGCCCGGCGCGCTTCGTCCCCGCCTTTGCGCACCGCCCCCTCCACCTCTCAACGACGCGCTGGAGCGCAGCGATGGGCTTTGCCCCGGGGCGCCCCAGAGATTGGTGGGGGGGCGGAACCCAGGAGCGCGGCTGCCCGCGGATTGGTGGGGCGCGGCGGAGGCGGGCCCGCGCATGCGTTTAAGGGGCGGCGGCCGGGGTGCGGGGGCCAGTGCCAAGATGTCGACGGCGTCGGTGCCGGAGCTGAAGCAGATCAGCCGAGTGGAGGCTATGCGCCTGGGGCCGGGCTGGAGTCACTCGTGCCACGCCATGCTGTACGCCGCCAACCCCGGGCAGCTCTTCGGCCGAATCCCCATGCGCTTCTCGGTGCTGGTGAGAACGGGCCGGGGGCGGGCGGGGAGCGGGCCGGGGCGCCTCGCCAGCCCTGAGCCCGTCGCCCGGCGCCCCCTTGCAGATGCAGATGCGCTTCGACGGGCTGCTGGGCTTCCCCGGGGGCTTCGTGGACCGGCGCTTCTGGTCGCTGGAGGACGGGCTGAACCGGGTGCTGGGCCTGGGCCTGGGCTGCCTGCGCCTCACCGAGGCCGACTACCTGAGCTCGCACCTGACGGAGGGCCCGCACCGCGTCGTGGCGCACCTGTACGCGCGGCAGCTGACGCTGGAGCAGCTGCACGCCGTGGAGATCAGCGCGGTGCACTCGCGCGACCACGGCCTGGAGGTGGGGCCGCCGTCCGGGCCCCGCCCCCCGCCCCGGGGTTTGGCTCTGGCCCCGTGGAAGGCACCGATGGGTAACACGTCCCCCTGAGCGTCCCCTGGCCGGGCTGGGTGGGGTGTCGCTGTCTCCAGCCACGGGTGGGGCGAGGGGCTGGGGCCGGGCGGCTGGGAAAGGACGGGCGGGGCCGGGACTGGGGCTCCCTCAGGGCTGTGTTCCATCCGCCTTGCTGCCTGCCATTGCCAATCCTGGGAGTGGGGAGCGGGATCGGTGGGGAGGGCGGGATGGGGACGCGGGGCCTGCCTGGGGAGGTGGGAAACGGAGGAGCAAAAGGGGGCGTGGGGCTTGGGAACCTTGGGGGAGGTGTGGCGGCGCTTGGACTTGCGGGTTTTAGGGTCTGGAAGGGCTGGACTGGGGTATGTGGGCCTTGCTGGGTGGAACCGGGAGCATGGGGTGCAGTCGGCGCCAGCCCGGGGTCGAGGGTGGGGAGCATGGGGCTGGCTCACACTTGCTTGGGGAGGAGGGGTCGCACTGCTCCTGGGGAGCTGGCTGCTTCTGGCTCGCCAGTCCCTGCCCGGGCCTCTCATTACTGACGTCCTGGACCAAACTGGCTGCTCCTCCCCGGCCTGGTAGCTTCCAGGCCTCTCCTGCCAGGGTGTCCCGTCTGCCAAGTGGGCCCAGCCCAAACCTTGACTTCCTGTCCTACAGGTGCTGGGCCTTGTGCGGGTCCCACTGTACACGCAGAAGGATCGAGTTGGAGGCTTCCCCAACTTCCTGAGCAATGCCTTCATCAGCACAGCCAAGTACCAGCTCCTCTTCGCCCTCAAGGTGCTCAACATGATGCCCGAGGAGAAGCTGGCTGAGGCCTTGGCCGCAGCCACAGAGAAGCAGAAGAAGGCCCTGGAGAAGCTGCTTCCAGCTTCTTCCTGAGGTGGCTCACATGGCGGCCACCACCCTCCCTGGCTGTGCCCGTGGGCTGGGAAGACTTGGCCCTGGAATTCCTGTGGAAGTATGTCTTAGAGCGTGTTTGTGTTTGCACCCCCTTCTGCCTGCCTGGGCCAGTGGCATCTCATCCCCACTGTCCCAAGCAGTCACGAGGTGGCGGCCAGGCCAACTGGGACCCGGCGGGTCCTCAGGTCGGTCAGTGGGTGGTCTGGGCACACTGGGCCTGGCTCTTCAGGCTCAGGTGTGCTCGCTCACCAAAGGCTCAAACCCTCCTCTGGGTGCATCTCTGTGGGCTGAGGAATGTGCACGGGGTTGGGCGCACAGCTCTGTGCTCAGAAGACGGCGGGCTGCGGCAAGGGATGCCTTTAGGTCAGCTCACTCCTGCATCCTTCCCCTAAGCCAGGCCTGGGTCTGGAACAAGGTCAGCTTGAGGGAGGATGTTATACTGTTAATTTTGGTTGTTGCTGGATTTACTTTGTTCGATTTTCTCTCTCTCAATGCGTGAACTATGGGTGAGGTTTCAGAGTGGCTTTACCCCACTGTGGCTTGGTTCCCAAGGACAGTCAGGGCCTCAGGGGGCCCGGCCATGTATGGATGGAGTTGAAGGAGAAAAAGACAATAAAGTTGCTCCTCAGCTGCTGTGTTTTCTGGTGCGGGGTGGAGGCCTAGGGCTGGGCTTGGGAGAAGCCTCCTTCCTGCTGCTGAATGTGGAGGTTGAGCCCCAGAGGGCCTGGGTTCCGTTCAGATGGAGCTGACCCAGGCCTCCTGTCCTAGGTCCAGACTCAGGAAGGCGCTGCCCTGGCCAGAGGCAACCACTTGTTTCCCAGTGTTTACTGGGGCACCAGCAGCCTGCTGGGGGCTTCTGTGCTGAGACCTTCAAGGAGACCCTGTCCCAATCCTGGCAGCTCCAGCTGCACTGGGTGGAGCCCACTGCCTTTCCTCACTCTGCACATCCCGCAGCAGCTCTAGGGGACAGTCTGCAAACACAGGCTCAGGGTGCAGAGTGGCGGCAGCAGGACCAGAGCTGCCACAGCCAGGAAGACCCTGTATCTGGAAAGTCTCCAGAGTGCAGTTGGAGGTCTTCACAGCCCAGGCTGGTTCCACCTCAGAGCTTGATTTAGGGGTTGAGTGTGGGAAGAGGGTTTGCCATGTGAACCTGGGACGCACTTAGCTGTGAAGCCACTTGTCTTGAGTCGACCAGGACTCTAGAATCATGTGGGCTCCAGGGAGTAGAGGCGTCCCCAAGCTGCAGGGGACAGGCAGGCAGATGCACTGAGTTGTCCTCACCCTGGGCACCAGGGTTCCCAGTTTACTGGGGCTGGGGTCTTGGCAGGGCCTTCCCCTCGCGCTGGTCCTGTTAGGGTCAGTCAGTGGTGTGTGTCACATGACCAGAACTGAGCCCTTCACTGGCTGATCTTAAGTTTTATTTTATAACCAATGACACTTTCCAAGTGCTCCAGTCCTCACCCACAGGGTCAAGTCTCAGTGTGGCACCTGTGTGTGTGGGGGGGAACATGCTGTCTCCCCAAGGCCCTGCCTGGTCTGGATCAGACCAGCCCATGAGCTCTGGGCCTTGCCACCAGGTACTGGGTGACAGGCCCTCGTCCCGCCTCAACATTGGCCTGAGCTGCCTGGCCAGGGCCCGTGGCCCCATCCTGCCTCTGTCTGCGGCTGCTCCTGGGCCCGCTCCTCTGGCCCCACCTGGCCTGGGCACTTGTGGCAGCCCCCTGCCCATGCCCTCTTGACTCCTGGCACAGCTTCAGGGTGGATCAGTCACCCGACGTCAGATTCTGAAAGAAAGGGCCCTGTTAAGAGCAGGAGGGGACAGATGGGCGCACTCACACCGGCCACTGCCCAGAACAGACCTGCAGCACCTGCCTATGTCCTGGCATAGATGGCTGGCTGGCAGACACTCACCGTCCCTCGGGCTAGGGCTCCCGCCACATCTTCCCACTCAGCACCTGCAGCTTCTCCAGGCTCTGGGTTACTGAGCACAGCATTCGCCCTAAGGACATGACCAACAAAGCTCTGAGGGCAGTCTGGGCACAGCAGGGAGAATGGAGGCTCAGGACACTAGGAATGAGCGTGAACCGTTCTTGCCTGGGCTCAGGAGACAGGCAGGGCTGCCCAGAGGTCGGAGTTGACACACCATGGCCTGCCCCACGGCAGTCATGAGCCTGCCAGGTCTGAGGTCTGCCTTGCGGGGAAGAGCTCAAACCTGTTTTCCCTGGAAGATCCTTCTGCCTCCCCTTGAAATAAAAGGGGCTCTGAGTCTTCACCACAGCCTGAGGCAGAGGTGAAGCCACCTACTGACCCCTGGAGACTCACCAATCTCATGGACATGGTCCTCCAGGGCCCCCGAGAGCTCAGGAAGGCTCATGGCCTGCAGGGACGCTTGCCAGCCTTTGCAGCCTATGTGCAGAGAACTGAGTTGGCCTGGGTTCTGCCACCACAGGCCCTGCTTCTTGGTCCTAAGCCCCTGGAACTTCCTGTGATCTGAACGCTCCACACCCAATTGCCAGTGCCTGAGTGACCCCCAAAGACCAAGGCCAGGAGCAGTGTCTGCTCCCCAACTTGGGGGTCCATGAAACCAGAAAGACTTGTAACATCAAAGTGTTGTGTCCTGCTGGTGGGTCAGACACTCACTGCCAGGCCAGGTTCAGCCCCAGGAGAGAGAGTGGGAGGGTCCCTGGCAAGGCTGTGCTCCTGGATGGCTGTGGCCCTGGCTGGAGGCTTGCAGAAGTCACTGGAAGCCCCAGACAGCCCCACAGGCCAAGGCATGGGCCCGTTCCCAGTACTGTCACAGCTGTGCCCGGCACCGCTGGGGTGTGGATGGTTCTCCCATCACAGGTGAGGAAGTAGGCTTGAGTTCCCAGGGCGCCTCTCCCCTGGATTCTGGGAGGGCGAAACCATGCTGAGCCCACAGGGCCAGACCTGGTCTTCGGGCTTCCCTGTCTCCCTCTGCCTGGCCCAGAGCCAGGCCACCGCTCTTACCTGCTAAGGGGGAGGCCAGGCCAGAGGCAGCCGCACCAGGAAACTGGTCCTGCCTCATGCGGGCTGACAGCTCAGCTTGACAGGCTCTGCCAGACACAAGAACAAGTGGGGGTGAGGCAGAGGCCTGATTGTCCCTGTAGCCACCTTCACGGGCTTGGCGAGCACCCCAGGAAGTCGTGCTGACCAGGAGAAACCCCTGTGGATTTCTGCAGCCCTGCCTGCTGCCCAGGCTGCCCTGCAGGGAGGAGGGGTCAGAAAGAAAAGGGGTGGGGAGGGAGTGGCTTCAGACCCCGATGTGTACCCCATGGTTAGAGAGCGGGGAGGAAGTCATGCGAGGAGGGGCCATTCAGAGCCACTCACCGCAGCTGGTCCAGAACAGCAGCAGCATCCTGAGCCACAGCCCAGGCCTCACGCAGCTGGGCCTGCATGTCCTTGCGGGCGCCGTCCTGCTCTAGGAGGCAACTCTCCACCACAGCCCGCAGCTCCTGCTCCTGGGACACCTGGCCCCGCATGGCCTCCACCTCCTCACAGCGCTGCCGAGAGGGAGGGGGAGGCTGGGAGGCAGCCCGGCAGGTGGAGCCTCCTCTATGTCTGTCATTCTGTGTGACTGTCTCTCTCTCTTCCATCGCAGAGCCTCCTGGCCCTGTCCTGTGTGCCGGCCACTCTCCTTGGTGTCCACTTGACCACCTGTAGTGTCTACCTGGGCAGTTCTAACTTTCTAGCAGGTTGGAACGTTTGCCCCTGCCCTGGGCCCACTCTGCGGGTGTTGTCCCTGTCCCTTTCCCATTGCCCCCGCATCTGCCTGTTCCCACTCACCTTGTGCAGCTGGATGGCGAGCTCCTGCATCTCAGCCTCCAGTCGGTCAGCATAGGCCAGCTCCAGGGCATCCCCGGGCGGGCGGGCGCTGCTGTGCCAGCGGGCAATGGCAGAGGTCATCTTCCTCTTGGGCCCAAACAGCCTGCAGGGGTCAGAGACAGATGTGGATCAACATACAGTGGGCGCCAGCTGGTCCCAGGGTATGGGTCTGGCCTGAGGGGGTGGGGCCAGCATGGACTCACGTGATACCGATCTCCTTCAGGTCGCTCTCGGTGAGCGTCAGGAAGATGCGCAGGTCCACGTCCTGCTCCTCAAACACCTGGAGGTACTTCAGACACCCAATCTGCTCCAGCAGCATGGCCAGGTCCTGAGGGCAGAGGGAGGGCCATGCTCGCTACACATTCCCAGCTTGGTTTCTGTTCCAAGCCCGACTCCCGAGCTTAGCCCAAGACAGCAACTTGTCTGTGGGTGCAGCACCCAAGCCACTCCCTCCCTCGGCGCCCTCAGGCAGAGCTGGAAGTCTGCAGGCAGGCTCAGGGTCTGGTCCAGGACTGCTCTCTCCATGGTCTGTGGCCTCATCTCATATTTATCACTGGGGACCAGACTTCTCATCCGCATGCATGCTCAGCTCTACAGGGTGTTGCTAACAAGTTCTTGCATGTGGGGAGTCCCTTCTCTCTTGTTCAAGACTTCCTCTGTGTGACGTTCCAACTTGGATATGTCCAAGTACAGTGCTCTCCAAGTTGACCCTACTTAGAGTTCACTGAGCTCCTCAACATGGAGATCCATGTTCTGATCAAGTGTGAGACGATTGGGCTGTTCCTCAAGCATTTTTCTTGCTCATCTCGTCTCTTCTCCTGGAACACCGTCATGTGTATGCTGGTGTGCCTGAGTGTCTTGCAGCTCTCTGTTCACTGGTCTTCATTCTTTCTGTTTCTCAGGTTTTTTGACTCTTCTGCTTGCTCAAACCTGTCATGGAGCCTGTCTGGTGAGATTTTCATCTCCAGCATCCCCATTTTTGCAAGTTCAATGGAGGAACTCCCAAAGGCTGTTACTCTGCCATTTCCTTCAAACTGCTTCCTGAGAGACAGTCTAGGATTCCACCACGGCCACAGGACCTGAGCAGGGCACCTGTTCCCTGAGCCTGGGATGCAGGCCTGGGGGGCGCTGCAAGTGGAAGCCACCAAAACCAGGCTTTCTAGGAGCACACATAGTGCAGAGGCTCCCCTGCCACCTTGGAGCCTCAAGCCCACACAGAGCTGGAGAACTTGTACACACCCAGGAGGTGGCTAGGCAGCAAGTGGCACCTGTGAGCCCAGGGTGACGGCAGTAAGGATGGCCCACACAGTGTGCAGTCCCTTTGTCCCTGCTTCACACGCATCTCGTCACGATCTCCTGCAAGCTGCTCTGAGATCAGTCCTGTTCTCCTTCTCCCGGATTGTGGTTGAACACTAAAGGAGACAGCCCATGCCACGGAGAGAACCAAACACAAGCCCTGAGACTGCACCATGAGCCACGAGGAGCTGACTCCCGGCCTGCAGAGATCTATAGGTCATTTGGCAAAAAGCCACCACTGTTCTATTCTCCCATTTGTGCCTGGCTTATCAAAAATTCACAACAGATGCCGCACCAGTCACAGAAAGCACCATCTTTACTTTTTTTTTTTTTTTGAGTTGGAGTCTCACTCTGTTGCCCAGACTGGAGTGTAGTGGCCGCTCCCGGCCACCGCAGCCTTGAACTGCTGGGCTCCAGCGATCCTTCCGCCTCAGCCTTCCAAGTAGCCGGAATTACAGGCATGCGCTACCACGCCCGGCTGATTTTTTGATTTATTGTAGAGATGAGGTCTCGCTGCCCAGGCGGGTCTCGAACCCGCGGGCTCAGGCAATCCACTCACCTCAGCCTCCCAAAGGCGCAGGATTACAGGCTGAGCCACCGAGCCCGGCTAGGCACCATCTTTTCTAAGAGTCTAATCACCAGTTTCACAAATGGGCTTACCTGGGGTCCTGAATAGGGAGACCTCTCTGTTTTGGGGTTAGATCCTGGGGTACAGGCTGCCCTGGAAGGCCCAGTGTTGGAAGGCCACTGGTTGTCACTGCTGCTATAACGATTCTTGGCCTTCATGTAGTTTTTAGCTTGTTTGTGAACTGAGCTTTTGCATGCGTGATCTGAATCCTGCGTGAGAGGGACATGTTTGAAGGAACATATCGGTGAAGGCTTGAACCTTCAGGAAGCCCCACCTGCCGCCACACAGAGGACTCCTGTGTTCCCCGCTGCACTCTGCCACCCACCTTAGGGCAGGCCTCTGAGAGGGCAGGCCCCGCATGCTGCCCTTCCCAGCCTGGCACAATCAACCGTGGGACGTCAGGTATCCCCGGTACCCAGGGGAAAGGGAGCCAAGAGATCAAGAGGGAAGTTTCACCTCGTCACTTTCCACGGAGGCTTCGCTGCTGAGTTCCTGGGCTATGGCCAGACCCTCACTGCTGCTGCTGCTCTGGACGGCCCCAAGGTTGGTACAGAAAGCTCGCTCCTCTGGCAGCAGGAAGACAGACGCCAGCCTGCAGCCCTTGCTCCCCAGAGCCCAGGCCAGGCTGCTGCAGCCATGACACTCCTAACTCCCCGCCCAGCTGGATGTTCTCTTCGGTTTCCTGCTGCCTGCTTGTCCTGAGCCCTTCTTTCCGTACATACACACAGGCAGGGCGCTGATCTTTTCTGTTCATTGATAAACCCCAAGCAGTGCTTGGCACCCAGTGGGCACTCCACAAACTGCACGTGTTAAGTGTAACAGACACACCCCCCAAAGGCTTCGGAGGGCTTCCATGCCAGGGGCTGAACCTGGCAGTGTGGAATGGCTGTCTTGATCTGCATGGGGACACTGTGCCAGAAGCTTCTTGTCACCTGGCCTGTGCCAGTTTCTTTGGTTTTCCTCACATGAACCAGGGCTCTCTACACCTCTCCCTTCTTGTTCTCTAGTGGGTAGAGGGCCAAGCCCCAGCTGTGTGGGTAGGGAGGGCGGGGCTTGGAGTCCAGGGCCAGACTGTGCAGTGGGGGCGAGGGCATGTGCCTACCCCGGCTGCTGCTGCTGCTGCTCTCCACGTCCCGGTCGTTGATGGGGGAGGTGACATCCCGATAACAGAGGCCCTCCCCTTCCAGGGGGTTCTCATCACTGCTATTGAAGGTGACATAGCCCCGTGGAGGCACCTGCTCTGTGTACAGAAAGGGACACGTAAACCTGCATGAACACAGAAGTGAACATGCATTCGTTCCAAATGCCACCCTTTCCGCAGAGGCTCCTGGTGTGAGAAGGCCTGGGGCTCCAGGCAGGCAGCTCCTTGGTCATCACATCATCAGCTCACTGCGGTCACCTGGCCATAACCTGCTTATAGCATACTGCTGAGGAAATCTGCTCTGAGGAGTCAGAGATCCTGCAGTGCTGGCGACAAGTACCAGGGGGCCAGGGCTGGTGCTCAGTCAAGCCTGGGTCCTCTCCCTTGTACTGTGCAAATCTTTTTCAAGTGGAAAAAGCAGGAAATGGTAAGCCATATTTGCAGATTCCTGAGCCAAAACAAAACTATCACTAGGTGTTCCTTTCAGCTGGAAACATCTAATAACTTCCCCCCCGACACATACACATATCCACACACCTCTACCAGGTGTCTTTACAGTCTTTTAAAATAGAGGCATTTAGAGACAGTCCTCCTAGGGCCAGTCAACGTCAGCCAAAAAAAGCCAGCAGAACAGAAGAGGGAAGGCCCTGGGCTCAAAATGAGCAGAAATAACACAAAATTATATCACTCTTGACTGGATCTGCCTGGAAGAAGGCAAGTAGAAAACGCAGAACACAAACCAGAGTTTAATTCCAATTGGGCCCCTGCCTCTTCCCCAGAGAAAGCACATTTATCTGCATAAAAACACAGGCTGGTAGGACTTGGGGGAACTTTTCTTTTATACCTTTTCCTAGTTATGGAGATTTTTTTTCTTAATAATCACATGCTATTTATAATTCAAAAAGATTTTAAATTACTGGCAAAGAGAATATACGCACTTCAGAAGGCAGAAGAGGAAATAACAAAAATCTCCTGAAATGCCACACCTGAGAGACAACTACCATCCTTACTTTTCTCCAAGTGCACAAAAATGTACACAAATGGCTTCAGCACCTTATGATTTTGGTAATTTTAAAGAATAAGAATTCTATTTTAGAAAAGCATTTGTTTATGGCCATAGAGATCAATCACCCCACCTCCCCCTAGGGATAAGACCTCTCTTCCCTATCCCTTGCTGTTCCTCTCAGGCTGGGATGGGGACGGGGACTCCTTAGAAGGAACAGATTCTACCAAACAGAGAATGACCCAGCCAAGTGTCCCAGAGCTAGGTGCTCACTGCCCCCCAGACAGGACATGGGCAGGCCCTCATGCTGCTGTGGGAGCTGCCAGCACTGGAGGGAAGGCCTTCCCAGGGGCCCAGTTATCCACCCCCCCTAGGACGACGGGAGAAGGTGGGCTTGCAAGTTCCCAACTCAGCCCCAGGGCTTGTGAAGACAGAAATCTACACACCTTAGGTTTCTTCCTGGGGTCTTAGAAGGGAATTGAGTGACTCATGGACCCTTGACTGAAACATGGTCACCTCGGGCTGGGAAAGTCAATCTCTTCCAAGTCCAGGCCTCAGGCCCTGCTCCTCAAAGGGCCCAGCCACCCAGCCACTTGGCTTGTGATAGCCATCAAAGGAAGATGCAACAAATAACTCAGTCTGATCTCTTAGAAAGGCCAGAGCACGAGAGAGTGAGCACCAAACTCAGCCTGCCTACAGAAGAGTTGCTCAGCACTCGCCAGGAGCACATCATCACCTAGGACAACAGCTTGAGGAAAACTCTGCTCTGGAAACCTGGGGGGCTGACAGGTGTGAGCTCAGATGCATTGTCTTGAGAAGAGGGAGCAGGAACAGGGCCTTCCCTTGGCCTTCTGCCCTGGGGGCACGGTCCACTTGGCCCAGAGGATGGGGGCAGAGCCAGGGAAGCAGCACTCCTGGCGCCACACCTTTCCTCCATGGCTGGCCTGCCTGTGAGAGGGATGAGATCTGAGCTTGGCTACACTCCTGCCAACATTCTGTTTCTCATTTTAACCAAGGAAAAGGAAAGCCAAGGAGATGAACCCCAAACCAAGAGCTAGCCAAAGACTAGTGGATTTCCATCACTGTAGTCAACTGAGTCTTACTGCTTGAGCTCGAAAGGCCCAGTGACCTGTTCCCTGCAGTCCAGGGACCCGCTTTTCAGAAGCCTGTTCTGTTCTTGCTGAGACAGAAGCTTGGGCTGTGATGTCCAAATGCCCTCTGGACATGTGGGTGCTCACCATAGCCAGGCTGCGAGGCCTTGCCCCGGAGGCCGATTGCTGTGATCCTGGCTAAGGCTCGTGGCCCCTCGTGGATACTGAGGCCCTTCTTCCGACACGGCCTCTGTCTCTGAGGAACGGGACAGGATTCATCCGAAGAGCTCAAATCTTCGTATTTTTCTGTGGATCAGACACCAAAATTAAGGCAATCTGTGTACTGATATTCTAACCCTTATGGTAAACTGGAAGAAAATAATTGCAGCTGGTTTTCTTAAGAAGAGAAGCGTTTTTGCCAGGACGTCACTTGTGAGAAGCCCTAACAGGCCAGCCACTGCCCTCATGGGTTGCAGGGGGCTGCCAAGGTAGTCACAATGGGGAGCTCCACTCCATCCTGTTCATCTCTAGGTGTCCAAAATTGTTCCTAAGGCTGTGTTATTTGTAATCAGAAATAATTTTGTTCTCAGTTAAAGGAATAAGTAAAATCCATCTCTTCATAAAAATATGGTACTATCAGTCACATTTCATAAGTATTTTATTTTATTTATTTATTTATTTATTTTTCTTTTTTTAATTTGAGTTGGAGTCTCACTCTGTCACCCAGACTGGAGTGCAGTGGCCGCTCCCGGCCACCGCAGCCTCGACCTGCTGGGTTCTGGCGATCCTTCCGCCTCAGCCTTCCAAGTAGCTGGAACTACAGGCGCGCGCTACCACGTCCGGCTAATTTTTTTGATTTATTGTAGAGATGAGGTCTCGCCAAGTTGCCCAGCTGGGTCTCGAACCCATGGGCTCAGGCAATCCACTCACCTTGGCCTCCCAAAGTGGGATTACAGGCTGAGCCACCAAGCCTGACTTCATAAGCATTTTAAATGTTCAGCTTAAACAACCTCCTGGGAAGCAAATGCTGTATGTTTGCTATGATTTACAAAGTATTTCAAATCACTACCCTATCTGAGCTGTCGGGGCACAACATGCCTAGGCTTTTGCCATTTTACAGTTTTCCATGGTTTTTTCTATTTGATCAGACCTATAAGGCAAAACGCAGAGGTTTATTTGTATAGGGCTCTGGTGTGATTCTACTTTGTTTCTTTTTTTTTTTTCTTTTTTGAGTCAGGGTCTCACTCTGTCACCCAGGCTAGAGTGCAGTAGCACGAACATGGCTCACCACAGCCTCAATCTCCTGGGCTTGGGCAGACCTTCCACCTCAGCCTCCCATTGCTGGGACTACAGATGTATACCACACCTAGCTACTTTTGTTTGTTTGCTTTTTTTGTTTTTTGGGTTTTTTTTTTTTAGTTGGAGTCTCACTCTGTCGCCCAGACTGGAGTGTAGTGGTATGTTCCCGGCCACTGCAGCCTCAACCTGCTGGGCTCTGGCGATCCTTCCGTTTCAGCCTTCCACGTAGCTGGAACTACAGGCACGTGCTACCACGCCCAGCTAATTTTTTATTTTTATTGTAGAGACGAGGTCTCGCCAAGTTGCCCGGGTGGGTCTTGAACTCAAGGGGTCAGGCAATCCACTCGCCTTGGCCTCCCAAAGTGCTGGGATTAAGGGTTGAGCCACCGAGCCCAGCAAATTTTTGTTGTTGTTGTTGTTGTTGTTGTTGCTTAGGCTGGTCTTGAACTCCTGGGTGCAAGCAATCCTCCCACCTCGGCCTCTCAAAGTGCTAGGACTACAGGCATGAGTCACCACGCCTAGCCTGATTCTACTTTCAAGAGATGAAAGGAGGCATATATAGGAAGAATTGCTAAAATTTCACTGTGGAGTTGGTAAACTGAAGTGGAGATGGGGGAGAGGTTGTTCCATGACCATCTCACTCCGTAAGAGCTGGTGTTGATTACAAAACGACTCTGACTCCAGGAATGGTGCTAGGCTGAGCCTGGCCCTGGAATGGGTGCTGGCTCACTCGGGTGTGAACTGACAGCACACGTCAGGGCAGAGCAGTGAGCTACAGAGCCCAGGTCCCAGACTGGGCCACTCTGTCCTTGCCCCATTATACACTGCCACACACTCAAATACCTATGCCACCCCACGGAGACTGTGGTTCCATCCAAAGATGAAGTTATAAGAAAAGATGTACAGAGGAGGGGGCCACCGCAGTGAGGGCAGCTCTGTACATGTGAACAACCCAACACATCATCAGAATGGCAAAAAAGAACAGAACAGGCAAAGGTAGAGCAGGCGCTGGGGACAATGAAAGAGCAAGGGCTGCGACCCTGCTGGCACAGCACAGTTCAGGCCAGAACGCATTCCACGTGACAGAGAGGGCTACTGTGGCACTAACAGCCCAATACCGTGAAGCCACAACAAGTTATGGATATGTCACCCAAAACTGCAGCAATTTCCTGTATAAATCAGAAATTACAATATATGCAAGGAAAATAGAAACACTAATTATAGGTGACTTTGTGGAAAAAGAAACAAAAATACATAATAATCAGTAAGACAGATATCTAGATATATACTAAATCTCATACCTAAATAACAGAGAATACAGCCTCTTATCAAGCAAAATACGATCATTACGTGGCAATTAAGACATCAGTAACTTTTACAAAGTAGAAGAATTATAAACATTCTCTGATCAGATGAATTAGATAAGAGTTGGTTAGAATAGCATGAGAAATTAATCACAAAACCAAAAAGGCCTCTCCCCCTAGAAATTTAAAAACAGGCTGGGCTCAGTGGCTCAGTCTGTAATCCTAGCACTTTGGGAGGCCAAGGCAAGTGGATTGCCTGAGCCTGCAGGTTTGAGAACAGCCTGGGCAACTCGGTGAGACCTTGTCTCTACAATAAATCAAAAACTAGCTGGGCGTGGTAGTGCGTGCCTATAGTTCCAGCTACTTGGAAGACTGAAGCGGAAGGATCGCTGGAGCCCAGTAGGTCGACGCTGGGGTGGCTATGAGTGTGCCACTGCACTCCAGCCTGGGCGATGGAGTGAAACCCTAACCCTCCGCCAAAAAAAAAGAAATTAGAAAACAAAAACAACCACAACCACAAAACTTCTATTAGACAACTCTTGGGTGAAGAGGACGATATAACTCAAAATTATAGAATTTCTGAAAAACAATGATAATGAAAGTACCACATACCAAAATTCCTGGGATACATTTAAAGCAGTAAAAATTGAGCCAGGCGTGGTGGCTCATGCCTATAATCCCAGCACATTGGGAGGCCAAGGTGACAGGACTGCCTAAGCCCACAGGTTCAAGACCTGGGCAATGTGGCAAGACCTCATCTCTACAGTTAAAAAAAAAAAGTAGCTGAGCATGGTGGCATGTGCCTGTAGTTCCAGTTACTTGGAAGGCTGAGGGGGAAGGATCACCAGATCCCAGCAGATAGAGGCTGTGATGGCTGTGAGTATGCCACTGCACTCCAGCCTGAGCCACAGAGTGAGACTCCAATTCAATAAATAAATAAACAAACAAACAAATAAATAAAGCAGTAAAAATTCACATCCTTGGCCAGGCTCGGTGGCTCAGCCTATAATCCCGCGATTTGGGAGGCTGAGGTGAGTGGATTGCCTGAGCCCGCGGGTTTGAGACCCGCCTGGGTAACTTGGTGAGACCTCATCTCTACAATAAATCAAAAAAATTAGCCGGGTGTGGTAGTAAACGCCTGTAGTTCCAGCTACTTGGAAGGCTGAGGCGGAAGGATCACCGGAGCCCAGCAGGTCGAGGTTGCAGTGGCCGGGAGCAGCCACTGCACTCCAGTCTGGGTGACAGAGTGAGACTCCAACTCAAAAACAACAACAACAAAAACAAAAACAGCCTGGCTCGGTGGCTCAGCCTGTAATCCTGCGCCTTTGGGAGGCTGAGGTGAGTGGATTGCCTGAGCCCGCGGGTTCAAGACCCGCCTGGGCAACTTGGCGAGACTTCATCTCTACAATAAATCAAAAATCAGCCAGGCATGGTAGCACGTGCCTGTAATTCCGGCTACTCGGAAGGCTGAGGCGGAAGGATCCCCAGAGCCCAGCAGGTCGAGGCTGCAGTGGCCAGGAGCAGTCACTGCACTCCAGTCTGCGCGACTGAGTGAGATTCCAACTCAAAAAAACAAAAAAACAAAAATTCATGTCCTTAAACATTCATATGATCAAAGAGAAACAAAATAATCAAATTCCCAACTCAATCAGAAAAAGAACAAGATAAGCCAGAAGAAAAATAAAAGCAGAAATTAATAAGGTGGCAAACTGAAAGTCAGTAGTAGGTCTAGTTCAAGGCCATATCACCCTGAACACACCCAATCTCGTGAGAGTCAGATCTAATTAACAAATTGGAATCCTATGGGGTTTTGTTTTTATACTAACTAGACAAAGCAATAGTATCTAACTTGAAAAAATGGGAACAAATATAAATATACAAAGTAAGAAATGAGATCCAGCAAGCCCAACACTGGGTATTTATCCAAAGGAAATGAAATCAGTGTATTGAAGAGATATCTGCCCTCCCATGTTGAATGCCCCACTGCTCACAGCAGCCAAGGTATGGAATCAAGGGAAGTGTTCAGCAATGAATGAATCAAGGAAATGGCAGTTATCTCCCTACATGTGAAAAAAGTCTTTGATAAAAATTCAACAGCAATTCCTACAAAAACAACACTCAAGAATATAGGAATTGATTAATACTTTCTCGATATGATAAAATACACATAGGCCTTCCTCTTACCGCCAGCTCCTTACTTATCTGGCATTTCTACTAGGATCAGGCCCGAGGGAAGATGGGCACTATCTCCAGTATTTTTCACACCATCTAGAGGCATTGGCAACTTAACAAAAGAACAGTGTAAGTCATCAAACAAACAATATCAGAGGCACGAGAATACCATGAAGTCGTGAACCCATCTCTACTTGCAGATTATACATGGTATACCTGGAAAGCCCCAGAGAATCAATAATAAAACTGGGCTAGATGCAGTGGCTCACACCTGTAATCCCAGCACTTTGGGAGGCTGAGGAGGGAGGATTGCTTGATTCCAAGAGTTCGAGACCTGCCTAAGCAACATAATGAGACCTCATCTCTACAAATAATCAAAAAATTAGCTGGGCATGGTGGCACATGCCTGTAGTCACAGCTACTCAGGAGGCTGAGATGGAAGGATCACCTGAGCCCAGGAAGTCAAGGCTGCAGTGAGTCGTGGTTGTGGCACTGCACTCCAGCTAAGGCAAGAATGAGACCTCAACTTGAGAAGAAAAAAAAAACTTGAACAATAAAAGAACTCAGCAAGGTAGCAGAGTATAAAATTAGTTTGCAAGACCAGGTGCAAGTGGCCCACATCTGTAATCCCAGCATTTTGGGAGGTGGAGGCAAGAGGACTGCCTGAGCCCAGGGGTTCGAGACCAGCCTGGGCAACTTGGCAAGACCTCGTCTCTACAATAAATCAAAAAAATTAGTTGGGCATGGTGGTGCATGCCTATAGTGCCTGTAGTTCCAGCTACTTGGAAGGCTGAGGTGGAAGGATCGCCTGAGCCCAGCAGGTGTAGTTGTAATTGTGCCACTGTACTCCAGGGTGACAGAGTAAGACTCTGATGCAAAAAATAAAAATACTACTACTAATAAATTAAAATAAAATTAGTATACAGAAATCAGTTGCCTTCATATACACTTACAATAAGCAGTTGAAGGATCTAATGGTAGAAAAAACCCCATTTGCAACAGCAACAGAAATGATCAAATACTCAATACTTCACTTATGTTTTATATGCAAGCTGTATATGAGGAAAAATGTAAGACCTTCCTGCAAGACCCAAAAGTACACTAGAACAAAAAGACATGCCTTATTCCTGGATAGGGCAACTCAACAACATAAAGATATAGTTAATTTATATCTGTCCCACAATCTCAATAAATACATCATCACACTGTTTTTAAAGCGCTGGACAAGTTGATATTCAAATTCACACAAAAAATAAGCAAGCAACAGCTCAAGACAGTGCAAAAAGAAAGCAAGAAGTGGCCAAGCCTAACTGATGGAAACAGACTGCAGAAAAGCCTTACACTCAACATGTGGTCTGCCCACCACCCTCTACTGTAACTGTCTCTCTCTCTCCCCCACTAGACCAGGGGCCTCAACCTCAACCCACGTGGAGTCAGTGGCGGGAGGCAGAGATGGTTTCTAGGCAGGGAAGCCAGAGCCAACTCTCAGAGAAGCAGGTGGGAATCAGGAAAAGGGGTGGGGAGGCACCTTTCTCCCCAGGTGCCCTAACACTCAGGGTGCCTGGGACCCCAGCAGAGTGGCTGGCAGATGCAGCTACCTGGGCTCCGATAGAGGCTCTTGGGCAGGGAGGGAAAGTGTGTGTCCATCAAGGCCACAATCTTCATGTGTCCGTACTGCTTGGCCAGCATCCGGGCTGTGGCTCCGCTGTGGTCTCTCGTGTCCACCTTGACTCCCTATGAACGTCCATGAAAGAGGAGTCAGGAAACTCCTTCAAAGCACCCGGCTTCCTCAGCTGCTAGCCCGGGTGGAGAGAAGGAAGCGCAGCTGCCTGAGGGAGAGGGGCAGGTTTGCTGGCATCATGGCCATCCGTTTGATCTCACTCTCGTTTTTTGAGTTGGAGTCTCACTCCGTCGCCCAGGCTGGGGTGCAGTGGCATGCTCACAGCCACCCCAGAGTCAACCTGCTGGGCTCTGGCAATCCTTCCACCTCAGCCTTCCAAGTAGCTGGAACTACA